CCCCCATCAACGTTGTAAAGTTCGTTTTCGACATAACGACTTGTACATCTCATTGTTGCAATGGGTCCACCTGTATCCCTATTTAAACGATTTGTTTTTCCCCTTCCTCTCCACAAATTATACCGACATTAAATACAGTGAAAGCAGGGTTATACTGTGGGGGAGGGACATACAAAGCAACAAAGAAATAATCTTATAAATGTGTTAGAAACAATCGCAAGAAAGAAAAAAACATTTGAATACATATCTTAGGGTTCATTTCCCTAACATCACCTTATCTGATCTTTTCTGCTTTACTCAGACATATACTAGATATTGCAAATAAGGGAAACTATGGGACCTATGTTTCTTTGGGCCTGGCTTTGTCATCCTTGCTCACGGGCCATGATAATCTTCTCTGTATCATTCCAATTTTAGCATATGTGCTGCTGAAGCCAGCACAGTCGTAAGTTGTTTCAGTCACAATCCAGTAAAATAACTCCCCTCTTAGTTGTTTAGGTATTAACTCTATCTTGGTCATATAATTATCCTCCTGGTACAAGATGTGACCAGCAAATAGGTGGGTAGATATGCACGAAGAGTAGCAATATAGACAGCAGAATTCTGTCTGAAATGACTTCATGTTTAGGGTGCATACATTAAAAAATACCCAAGGACAGTTTTAATTTGTGAGTCAAAGCAATAAGAATAATGAAAATATTCAAGCACCAGGGCTTTAAATGACCTCTTTTTGAATGAAAAAAAAAAAAACACTGAAACTTTCATCCAATCAAGCAGTCTGAACATCTGGGTGTACTTTAAAATAGAAGCACTGAAGTCAGAGCATTGCCTTTCATAATACATAGGAAGCATTTATATTTTCCATGGGTGTAATATTTACTGTAACCCACCCAGCATAAAATGAAATGGTTTTTTTCCCCATTAATCAGCATTAAGACTACTGCTGAGAAATGTCAGGAAAGGACAAAAACAGTATATTTTCATGGCATATTTTGCTGGGTCACAGAAAATCAAAACTCGGGTTTCCTTCTTCTGACATATTTGTACAGAGAACCAAAAACAAAAAAAGACAGGGATTTACATCTTCTTTTAGGAGACAATAGAGAAACTGTCCAGAAACAAAAATAAATATTTTCCTTGCTTAAGTGGAATCTTCTCAAATCTTAATTCTACAGCCCAGGTGCATGTAGACCTTTTTTCCATTTTTCTCCTGTGAGTTTCTCCTGTGAGCAGCCTGGTGAAAAGCTCCCACCATTCCTTAGTGTCATCATACCTTTCTGTAGGTAACTTGGTCTGACTTCACCATCTTTGACCAGGGCTCCAGCAGGATGAGAAGAATATACTCCTCTGCTGTGTCAAAAAGGTCTTCAAATGGTGGTTGTATTTTCATATAAATTTCTTTTTTCTTTTCCTGTTCAAGTCCAATATCAAAAGTGGCTGATGGCGCAACGTAGGTGGCAAAAAGATACTAAGAGGGGGGAGGAGGAGGAGAGAGAGATTGGGAGAAACCACAAAAGTTAGCCCATCAGAGTCCTCAGGGAGGGCATTTGTAAACTACTGCGAAAAGGCAAACAAGCTTTTTTATTTTTAAAGATTATCTTTAAGTAGTTGTACAAAGGAGTTTCCATTTAACAAAGCAGTTTTTTAATATATCGGGATCAATGTCACCCCTTTCAACATTCTCACCCATCACCTCCCCTACCCACCCTTCCCCCACTCTTCTTAATTTGTAGGATATATGTTGTGTTCTTGACTGCGTTTCCCTCCTCTTTTCCTCTTCTTTGGTCTACCTCACCCCACTCCTTTCAAGTACCCATTTCCAGTGTTTATTTTGTTGAACTTCGACTGTCTCTCTAAGCAATTACAGAGTTCTCCCTTGAATCTACTGCATTTAATTCATTTCTATACCACCCAATGCATTTACTTATAGGTTAATAAGCCAAATTTAGCTTCTATAGCTAAGGAAAAACATACACCCTTTGTTTCTCTGGACCTGACTTACTTCACTTGACATAGTTTTTTTCAGGTCCTTTCATTTCTTTACAAATAATCCAATATCATTCTAATGAATGAGAAAAATTCCATTATATATGTATATATATGTATATATATATATATATATTTCTTGATCCATTCATCCATTGAGGAGTATCTGGGCTGATTCCATACCTTGGATATAGTGAATAGTGCTGCAATGAACTTAGTTGTGCTGGCAGCTTTATTGTAGCCTGGTTTGTAATCTTTGGGATAAATGCCCAGGAGTAGAATTGCTGAATCATACGGTACTTGAATTTTTATTTTTTTGTGGAACCTCCATGTTGCTTTTTTTCTTGAAAATATGGGTAAACTACTTAAGACAAAGCAGCTTTTTGAAATATAAAAACTAGTTTTGCTTATCTTTGTCTACTTTCTCATGTAAGTAGCATTTGGTCATTTTTTTTCACAGATGACAAAATGCTAAAGGTATACAATTATTATGGTCAATCTGAGATTACAAATATCCCTGTTCTCTTACCTTCACCAAAAAATGTGTGTACTTTGTGGAAACCAGAGGCAAGAACACAGTAGGGTTGGAAATCTGGTCCTTGGTCTTCTAGTGTAGACACCAGACCATTACCCTACCTAATTGAATTAGAGTTCTAAGACTCTTACTAATTTCCTTTTTTGTCCTAAAATGTCTCCATCCATCCTGGACTATGGAAGGTATACAGAAGGTGATAAGAATAAATGGAAATGACTGAGCACTGGTGGCTTAAGCCTGTAATCCTAGCTGAAAATGTGAGGATAGAAGTTTGAAATCAGTCTGAGTAGAAAAGTCTCCAAGGGGCTGGGAAGGTGGCTCAGTGTTAGAGTGCTTGCCTTGCATGCATGAGGCCCTGGGTTCGAGTCCTCAGCACCACATAAGCAGAAAAAGCTGGCAGTGGCACTGTGGCTCAAGTGGTAGAGCACTAGCCTTGAGCTGAAGAGGTATGGCTCAAGTTTAAGTCCCAGTACTAGACCTGGGCACACACACGTGCACATGCACACACACACACAAATAAAAATACTAATAATAAATGGATGGTACACACAGAACTTCAAAAATCTTCCACAATGTCTACCCAATGTTATTCATCTGTTTTGTCATTCAATTGTTTATGTATGTGGAGCAATTTGGTAGCATTTTATTTTAAAGTTTTATATAGTAGAGATGTCAAACCACTCTCATTCACAGATTTCAGTTTTAAACTGTTTGAAAGACCACAATGTTGAACAGCAGCACAAAATAGTGTTCAGAGGAAGGAAACACAAGAGTTATTTTAGATGTCCTGTTTAACTAGGTAATCTAGAATTTTTATGATTGTGAGGATTGGAGACTTCCTCCTTAAAACACTGTTACATAATCTGCTGGGAAGAAAACTACAAAGTGAACCATTTACCAAATGACTTGATAATATTTAAAATGAAATTGTCCCCTCCCCCCCCACTGTATGTGACAAAGTTTTCTAATCTTGGAATTAACTGAAGATAATGATTTGTAAATCTAACAAGTTGGGATTGCATCAGATTCAAGTCCATTCTTAAACATTGTCATAGTTTTAAGCTTTAAAGTACATAAGTCAAACTATCAAATTTAGGTAAATTAAGAAACTACAAATTAAAATTACCAAACTAACATTTTAAAATGTTTCTTGAGCTGAAGGTGCAGCTCAGTGGCAGAATGTGCCAAGCATATGTGAGGACTTGGGTTCATTCCCCAGCATAGCAAACTCCTGAGTCTCCTTCCTTCCCCTCCCCTTCCTTCTCTCTCCTTCTTCTTCTCCTTCCTTCCTTCCTTCTTTCCTTTTCCTTTTGGTTGTTACTGTTTTTGGCAGACAATTGCACAAAAATGCAGGTAATTTATTTGTCCTCCTACTTTCATTTACTTATTTATTTTCCTTCCTCACTGGCAGTAGATCAGAATACTGTTTATTATCACCTGAGTTATTTCTCTTTCTTCAAGCATCATCCTCCAGTATGATTCCTCGTCAGACTACAGAGTAAATTTATAGTGCATTCAACTGACGTACAGCACTTTAATTTCTCTAACAATCAAGTGTCAATCTTCAAGTGGATAAATGACTATATATACCAAACACAAGAGCTACACATAAGTACGTAAGAAAAAATTGAATCTTAAAATCTTTATAAAACAAAATGCTTAAAAAAAGGATACAGGTTAACCCATTGTAACAGTGAGATGTACAAAACACCAAGTTGAAAATGAACTTTACAACTTCGGCTGAGGGGGAGGGTAGTTGTGGAGGTGGGAGGGAAGGGATGGTAGGGGAAAACAAAGGAGGTGACAACAATGCTCAATAGGAAATGTACTCCTTACCTTGCTCATTTAACTGTAACCCTTCTGTACAGCATTTTTACAATAAAAGACATACAAAAAATATGTTAAAAATCACTACATTGAACTAAGCTGATTCAATGATGAAATACAAAGATTATATATACAGTCTGATTATCTATGTTTCAATATCCTGGGTCGTTTGCTGCTTTATTGGCCACCCAGCTCTTCCAGTTTCAACCACAGAGTAAATAACAATGCAGCTCATGGTGAAGAGAAACAGTGAAAAGGCTCCCTTCATATTCCAGCCAGCCACTCTCATTCACAGTAATGCAGAGATTCACTCATACACAGCTGTGGCTGACAGGATTCCAATTTAAACATTAACCTTCCATGCTTTAACAGCCCAGCAGGAAACATTTCCAGAAGGGACACAAGCATGGCCTGTCTGTGATCAGACTGCCTGGCACTGCACACAACATGGCTCTGAACTCCATCTCTCCTGGAGACGCTCAAAGGTTATGTAATCAGGAAACACACGCTGGGCGGCCTGCCGGCACCCCTCTACACCTGTGCCTGTGACTCACTTTCTTGGCAACTCTCAAAAACGGGAGGGAGAGCAACTCCTCTCCCGAAAAAAAAAAAAAGTCTTTTATGGTCTTGAAATTCTTAGAGTTCATTTTCACTCAGCTCTTAAGACTATCTGATTTTTAACAAGACTAGCAAGAAAAAAGATGTAGGATCTATATTGTGCAGAGAGGAGGAAATGTTGAATTAGAGGGGAAAAAAAGGATGGGGATAGAAATTGGAAGAAATGAAGACCAAAAATAACATAAAGGGGGTGGGAGAGGGAAAATGTTTTTTAAAATAATGCATATCAGTTGTACAAAATAATATTCCATTATGGCATTTTTATTACTGCATATTGAGTACAGTATAGGGTTTATTTAAAAAATGAAGATTCTATATATGAAAGAAAACATGTGATATTTGTCTGGGTCTGCTTATTTAACTTAACATGATGATCTAAATTTCCATCTTTTATTACTCAAATGACATAATTTCATTTTCCATTCATTTATTTGTTGATAACATTAACTTGCTATTGTGACCACAATAAATGCGAATGTGCAGATATCTCTATTGTATGCTGACTGACATTCTTTCATATGCATATACCCAGAGGTGGTAAAAACAAGACCATATGTTAATGCTATTTTTATTTTTTAAAAAACTTATCATTAGCTGCATTAATTTAGAGTTCCACTAAAATTGTAAAAAACAATGTTTTGATAAATATTTAACTTTCTAATAGGTATTAAAATATGAATGCTAGCCAGGCGCCAGTGATTCATGCCTGTAATCCTAGCTACTCAGAGGCTGAGATGTGAGGATCTCTGTTCAAAGCCAGCCCAGGCAGGAAAGTCCATGAGACTCTCACCTCTAATTAACCACCAGAAAACCGGAAGTGGCACTGTGACTCAAGTAGTAGAGTGCTTGCTTTGAGCTGAATATCTCAGAGACAGTGCCCAGGCCCAGAGTTCATGCCCCATTACCAACAATAACAACAACAAAAAGAATGCTATTTGATTTTCATTATATGCAGGGAAAATGTTTCTATATATATGCCTCTTCAAGGAAATTTCAGAGGCTTCATTAGAGACAATATTCTAAAGATAATATACTTTGTTCTGCACTACTCAAGAGATGGACCAAATAAATTATGACATTTACCATTGTAATTTACATCTTTTCTAATCCTTTCTGATACATAAGGCCTACAGAAATGAAATTGTTTTTTAAAATATCAAAAGCACAAGGGAAAAGTAAAGAAAGAAGTGACATTGTCCAAAAAAATGTACTCATAACCTTACTTATAAAATGGTAAGCCTTCTGTACAACACTTCATTAATAGCAATAAAATTATATATTTTTTAAATTTCAAAAGCAGCTGCGCACAAATGACTCATGCCTATAATCCTAGCTACTCAGTAAATTGAGCTCTGAAGATCGTGGTTCAAAGCCAACCAAAGCTTGTGAGACTCATCTCCAATTAACTACCAAAAAGGTCAAAAGTGGAGCATGGTTCAAATAGGAGAGTACTAGCTTGTAGCCATGCCAGGGAGAATGCCCTAGCCCTGAGTTCAAGCCCC